ATGGTTTGCAAAAGACGATTAGAACATTTAAAAGAACATGCTAATACTGCACCAAGTGTTGTGAATCAATGGCGGAGACAAAGGCTTGACAGAATGTTGATAGAATATTTCCTTCGTAAAGGCTATTATACAACTGCGACTAAGTTAGCAGACAGTAGTGAGCTTAGAGATCTAACAAATATAGGTTTGTTACATGTTAATATTACTTGATATTTTATATAGAATATATTGATATTATTTATTTTATTTCATAATTTTAGATGTTTTTATGGTATCAAGAGAGGTTGAAACATCTTTAGCAAATCATGAAACGGCAAGGTGTGTTGGTTGGTGCTACGACAATCGATCTAAGTTAAGAAAATTAGGAAGTACTATGGAATTTAATCTACGTGTACAAGAATTTATAGAATTAGTAAGACAAGATAGAAGGCTCGATGCTGTCAAGCATGCTAGGAAATGTTTTACAAATTATGATGATATTCAGTTACATGAAATTCAGTGCTGTATGGGACAATTAGCATTTCCAGCTAATACATCTCTTAGTCCATATAAAAATCTATTAGATGAAAAAAGGTAATTATATTCTTTGTAAAAATTATACTTGCATACATTTTTTCAAATCTAGTCATATTTATAATATATAATATTTACAGATGGGATAGATTAATCGAGCAATTTAGACATGAAAATTATAGACTTTTCCAATTGGCAAGTCAGAGTGTTTTTACTGTAGCATTACAAGCTGGTTTATCAGCATTAAAAACACCTCAATGTTATAGTGCAAACAAAGAAGGCAGAAATCCAAATTGTCCAGTATGCAATGAAGCTCTTAATGAATTAGCTGTTCCATTGCCTTTTGCTCATTGTTCACAATCCAGACTTGTTTGCAGTATTAGTGGAAAACCGTTAAATGAATATAATCAACCAATGATGATGCCAAATGGATATGTATATGGAGAACAAGTGAGTAAATGAATTTATCTTGTAAAACATATGATTATCTATTCATTAAATTAATTTTATACATTTTACTTTAGGCACTGGAAAAAATGGCTCAAGAAAATAATGGTACTGTAATTTGTCCAAAAACCAAAGAAGTGTTTCCGTACAAAAAAATAGAAAAAGTGTATGTTATGTAAAAACTACTGATTCAGATACAGAACCTGTATTATATACAGTGCATCTTTCACATTCTAACTCGGAATATTTACTGTTTAATACTCTATACTGACATTAACAAAGGGAATAACTTCTATTTTTAAGGAAATATTTTTTTGCAAATTTTATTTGTGATCACCTACTAGAATAAAATGTGATACAAACCAATAATGTGTGTTATGGAAAACGTTCTAGTTTTTCGATATAAAAGGATATACAAATTATTATGATAATGTAGTTGATTATTAAATATGAAATCAGATTTTTGTTCTTACTCATTTATTTAACATCATCTCTACAATAAATCGAACAATTAAAACAATTCCATAAATCTACGTTTCAAGACGTATTTTATAACCATGAGCTTTGTAAGTATATTACAATGATTCATATTTATATTCATACTTTGCATGCCCAAACACTTTAACATAATAATGGTAAAATTTATGTTAATATTGTTATTTAACATTGTTATTTATGTTAACATATAATTTGACTGCTACTTTGCTATGTGATTCTCTATGATTTCATTTTTATATAAAAACAGATCTACCATCATTTAATCATTTTTTCAAGTGAATAATTGTATTAACACCTTAATGAAGAAAGCCTAATCTATCTAATGATATGCATTAAGCAATTTTGGATAAAACATGTCCACAAGTGAATCAATATAAAAATATCCCTTCTATGCTCTATTAGCTTTAAATTCAATGATTTTCCATTCATTGGTTTTACTGAATTTTATTTATAATTTATTGTCTGAATTGCTTTATGCGGAAGATTGTCCTTCTAGGAATTCGGATTCTATATTTTAGAATAAAATTTGTGGTCAACTTGGGATACAATATTTGAGGTAATTTAAGGTTTTCCATTAGCAAAATTTGCTTATGTTTATGAATATATGATTCTAAATAGTTTAGCTGAGTATAATTTAATAATGTATAGGAATATTAGTTATTGTATATGTGAATCAATAGAAATAGAGTAAACAGTATTATAAACATTAAAATAGCATAGCTCACAAGATGTATACAATAAAGATGCATATTCGTAAATGTCACATGTAAATACACGTGGAAGCACTTAGACAGTATTAACAGACCTTACTAAGTGTATTCAAACATAAGTTCATATTTAATGATGTGTACCTTTCTATATTTTTTTGTAATGAAAATTACATGTGTAAATATATGTATATATACATATGAGCTAATATATGTAATCAAATTTTTTAAGAGTAATTACCATTAATTTTGTGATTTATTACATATAATCTCGAATTTATTACAATTAGGAATAAAAATTAAATAATAAGATAGTATACATCATTTACAAAACATTTAACAAAAACATTTCCACTCAATGTAAAATATATAAAATCTCATACAATTACGATAAAATTTGAGTACATGTATAAGTAAATAAATATATTTCGTAAGTATACAAAATAAATATTATACTGAAGTTTTATTGAGCTTATTACACATGCAATTTTATGTTTACATGTTCAGTTATACACACTGTCTTAGTCTTCTTCTGAACATACAGTATATTGATTAAACAGAAGGATATTGAAATACATAGTATTACATACTATAAAAATATCTTTAAATACAAAAAAAGTTAACAATCATTACAGATACAGAACATAAGAAGTAAAACAGATTATTGTCTTGATTCATATTGAGATTAATGTTAATCAGATCAAAGTCTTTATATCTTATATAACACCACGAATGGTTTTAAAAGATATTCATTTTCTAATATTCTGATAATTGTAACTATTAGTTACACATCATATAAAAAAAAGTAATGTAAAGTTCGTATATCAAAATATATAACAAGTAAAATTTATATTTTATAATAATATTTGTACAAATAACACAACCCATTAATTACTGAAAGTGAGAATATAACTGTATAAAACATAATAAAATAATTAATCTATGAAAAATTATTTCATGTAAAACATTTCTATAATTTGAAAAGGAAAGAAAGAAGTGTGTTCTTCAAATGCATGTGTTTTTCAAATGCATGTGTATGTGTGTATATTTTAACAATACTAGTATTTTAATTTATTCATTACAATTAGCACATTACTGAGCACTTAAAGAAGAAGAAAGTGATTTTTCATTTCAATATCTTTATCGTCCAAATAGTATATAGCTCAGTCATAAATTTTATTAAATTGGTAGTACGAAAAGTTAACAATCCAGTCTTATCATAAATTTGGTCTATGTAAATAACAATTGTTAAATGTACAGATTTTTTATGTGCTTATTTTAGTGGCTCTGAGTGAACTCATGAATGTGAAAAACCTAATAATATATGAATATTAAGGCTTTTTGGTCCAATTTAGTAGCAATAGTTACATTGGGGCAATAATTGAACATTAATATCGTTAATATGAACTTGGTGTATTAATAAATTTCTATTCTTTGCTTCAAATTTTAAACAGTTCATTATGAAATATTAGATTGTTTTGAATAACACGAACTTTTTTTTTTCTTTTTTAAGATATTGCTTAACATTCGTATTATTTTTTCTTTTCTTTCTTTTTATTTTTATATTATAACAAAACAATTTATAGTATTTCAAATATGAATCAAACAAATAAAAATTATTAACACGTTATTTTGTAAAACTATCATATAATGACATATTTATTTTCAGCGTCATCCCCTTATCGTGCTGAAAAATCTATTAAATTCATTTGGTATTGTAAATAGTGCAATGTCAAAATTAGATTATACTCTATGCTGATGAATTCTGATCTTATTTTTTTTTTTCTTCTTGTGCTCTTCTTTTGATTCTCCTATTAAATGAATGTCTTTAAATATAGATTAATACCTTATCATTGAATCCTGTATACATTAAGATATTCCAAATGACATATTTGCTACTACACTGGGCAAGACCATACTAAACAATATTCCAGTAAAAATTCCTGTAATTAATGAAGCTGCCCCAAACATACCAGCTGTTGTCATATATTGAGACTCAACCATACTAAAATTACAAATATTCAATTTTTAATATCAAAAATAAGGAAAGCAATTCTTTTTGTTGAATAAATCTTACCTCGGGCAATACATCATTGATAAAGAAGAAAAGTAGCCACTACTTATTCCCATCGTAACGGCGATTAAAAAATAAACCCAATCATTATTAATATATACTGGTAATACTCTTGATATACCTTTTGGCTTGTAATTACACAATAAAAACAATGGTATATACAAAATGCGTAAAAATACTGGGATCACTAAATATTTTTTACTAGGCTACAAGAATAAAAAAGTAATGATTGGGAGATTAATGTATACATTTACTATTTAACAAATCTTTTAAAAAAAAATGTACTCACCCACTGAACGAATGATGCGATTGAACTACCAGTTAGAGCGGCAATGTTAAACGTGAGAAAACACATGACAGTAGTGTAATAATCTGATGGAACTATAAAGTTAGGATCCGACTGTACTATGTCGGATTGAACAGATGGGAACAAAGAGAGAGTTATAAAAAATATAAAAAATGTATTGAAACATTGAGGAAAACATTGTTTTAATATCTTCCAATAAGGCGGTGTGTCATGTTTATCTCTTGTATTATTTTCTAATTGTCTTTTATTTATTCCTTTCTGATGTAATAATTCACGGTGTCGGTAAAATCTCTATAATCAATAATGATTTATGTCAAATATTATGCATAACTTATGATAAAACATTCAAGAAAATTATAAATCTTACATTTATTGGAAGTGCAAAATAAGTATCAAAACATGCAAGAAGAATAAACAAAGCTGTTATAAAGTAATATATCGCGGCAGTCCGAGTATTTGGTGCCATATATTGAGCAAGAAAGTTAATTAATGCTGTAAATGTCCCACTTATATTCTGAAAGTAACATATAAATAATGTATCTCAAAATGTACATGTTACATAATGTTTTGATTATAAAATTGTAGAAGTTGATATTTACCGTGCCTAAAATAACAGCCCCTGTGTACTCTGTGGGTAACTTTGCCACCATACCAAACACAGAGTTTTGGTAAATTCCATTAGCAGCTGAAAATGATACAATAAATAATAACTATTGTAAAAATAAGTCTTGCTAAAAAAAATGTAATATTAAGTAAAAATATTGATTGTACTTTAAAATCTCATTCTGATTTGCAATATAATTATAATTTATTTAAAATATTATATAAATGGCTATTATTTTAGAATCTCTACAAAAATAATTTTATCTTACTGTTTAATATAACAACAGAAATCATGGTAATCCAGAAAAAGACACCTGGCCAAACAGATGTATCAACCATTGCCAAAATAACAGTACATACAAATATTAAAACCTGTACGAAGATGCTCCATACTATACGTGTTGTTAAATTGCCACTAAAAAAATTAAAAATTTATCTTTAGATTTAAATACTTGTTCTTCATAAAATTTAAATTTATTCCATAGATTATATGATACATAGAAAACAAGTTTTTGAAAGATATTGAAAAAAAAAAACATATATGTAAGATATTAGATTAAAATTATTAAAAATATACACACCCAAATTGTATAAATACATTTAACCAATTAAATAGTAGATTTGGTATTTGTGATGCAAATGCTAAGTATGGAAGAAAATTTGTATCATAGCCTGTTTTAATCCCTGTATACTCCCTGGATAATTTGTAATTAACAAAATACTAAAAGAATAATCAAATTGATTAAAAATTTATAACCTATGTAAATTTAATTACAAAAAAGTAAAAAAAAAATATACTTTAAGAAATCATACATTTTTTGCTGTTATGAACATATTCCATGGCATCAAGATACCAATTCCATGAAGTATCATTATGCAGAATACTATTCTTAATCTAAAATTATATAAATAAGCAATTGAAAACAAAATTTATTGTGAATTATATTAAAAGTGTAAAATTATATTTACCTATCTTTTGGAGGATTTAATTCAAGGTCTGCTTGATCCATTGTAACTCCTTTAAAATTTAATTCATCATCAGGTCTACCTGTACCTTCCCAACCAGGAGAAAGACGCACAGGCTCAGTACCTACAACAGAAGATTCAATTATTCAGTATGATTTATATAAAATATACACATAAATTTGATATGACTCAATAATCAAAACTTAAAAATATGAATAAAATTTGAATATAAAATTTTAACAAAAAAACACGAATTTTGAATATTTTGTATACTTAAAAAAATAACTTTTATAATGTACTTTAAAAGTCATGAAGGAAAATAAACTATTTTATATCAATTTCTTGGTAAACTTAATAAATTACACAATTAAAAGCAATTACAAGTTTACAAAAAGTTATAGGATTTCAATGTTCTCTTTGTATAATAATCTAATAATAATTAATACTTTAATTTATATATGAAAACAATTTAAATTTATAACAAATATTAAATCATTTTACAAAATAAATACGAATAAAACACACACCAATGTTATAATGTAAAAACTAACATTCAAGACTAGTGAAGCTTCACTACCAAGAGACCGGTTTGATTGAGTATTGTGATGGAAATAAAAGAAAAAGATGTATACTTCCAAGAAGGGTAGAGTTCTTAGTACTTAAACACTATTGTGAAGTTAAAGTAATAAAGATTTAAAAACAAAGAAAGAGATACAGCGATAGAAAAAAATATATACCTTTAGCGGATATGATGCGTATTTCATTTGTATCTTTCAACAAAGTTTGTTCTTCGGGACCCACGTTGAATTCCTTCTTTGTGTAACTGTTCGCCATTTTTCTGTAGTTTTCAAACTTAAATCAAATTAAAGACTGCGCAATACACTTCACAATTAATGCACTTCACGTGTTACTTATGTAAGTGAAGAGGAATTGTCAATGGTTGTTTCTTTTAAATATGATTTCTGTTTAGTCAAGCGGACGGATATTGTACAAAATGCAAATAGTCGTCGGAAAATTTGAACACAAGAAAGTATTTAATCAACATTTGTAAAGTTTTCTCAATTACTCTTGGATATCATTTTGAGAGGAAAGGTTCAATAAGCTTGATATTAATATCACTGCATGTCCACTAGTTAAGGCGTTAGAGTTATGAATAGAACTGTTCCCCAACGTGTACGACGTACCATCTTTCTGCTTTATTTTTATAGGTTAAGATAAGATAAGGTTAGAGTTCGACAAGTTACTTCCACCCTGCGCGGAGATTCACGAACTAGTTCGAGATGTTGAGATACGCGCGCACATTTATGATATTTAAATCAATAAACAAAAAAAATTGCATGACAAATCCAACTGGCATGACTAATATAAGACAATTGCTCCTTAATTGATGTACTTAAGCTAGAACTTTATTGAATATCTATGTTCAGAATGCAAGTTACTCGTGTTCTTAAAAATACTGCAACTTTTTACTTAATTTAAAAGTTTAAAAACTTACAATTTTTTTATAGATATACGAATAAATGAAAACAAAATAATAGAATTTTTCCTTTATATCTAGACATAATATTACATTGTTGTTTTATTTTTAGATAATTTTAATACACTATTATATTTTTATATATGTCATTTTCTAGATAGTTGTGTATAATTTTTTATAAACTCTTATATTAACTCCAAACTTCAACTTGATATCGATTTTTATTTTTTAATTGTTGAACAAAACTTTCTGTTTCTTCCTCAGTTGATTTGGTCATTTCTTTGATTAAATTAACAAATTCTTTATGAACGCAATTTGGCATATTTTTAGAATTACCTGCTAGATAAATGTTGCCATTTTTATTAAGAAATTCCCAACACAGATGCTTTTGATTATTTATGATATGTTGTACATATCTGAAATATTTATAGACTACTAGTTACATAAGACATAAATTTTAATAATTAAATAATTTACATTATTTAAATTTATTCTAAAATATATATCTAAAGTGTTTTAACTTACACTTTGTGTTCTTGATCCCTGGAAAATGCACAAAATAAATTTAAGCCCTTCTTCAGTGATAAATGTTCAAAATCATCTTTACAATGATAATCTTTTTCCTTATATCTACAGCCAAAAAAGAGAACACAGTCACTTAAATTATCATTCAATGCACATTTATCTAAAAGAACTGAACGGAATGGTGCGACTCCTGTTCCAGGACCAATGAATATCATTGGCTTGTCATATTCAAATTTAAATATTCCTTTTTGAATCCAAAATATTATCTTATCATCTTTTACTAAACTTGCTAACCAATTGGAACACAATCCATATCTTGGTTCTAGTAGCTTTGTTTTATATTTTACTACAGCCACTAGAAGATGAATTTCATTTCCAGTAGCTCTTAAGCTTGAAGCTATGCTGAAAGCTCGAGGTTTTATGGGAGTCATAATTTCAAATAATAATTTTAAATTTAATTTACTAGTTGTATGAGGAAAATCTGCTAGTAACTCTAAAATATTTCTTCTTGGCCTATTAATGTAATTGTATAGTTCTTCTTGACCATTTGCTGTTGTAAATTCATATAACTTTTCCTTTTCTAATTCATTTTCACTGATAAAAGATAATACTTGTATAGTAGATCTGCGTGGTTTAAAATTTAAATCCCAATACTGTTCTACAATTTGATATAAAGTTAGAGTTTGACATAGAACAGTAGGTACTTTAATTTCCTTTTTAGTTATTTGTATCAACATGTTTGGATTCAACTGCACATTATTATCATTTAATATTTTAAAAAATTTCTCAACTTGCTTCTGAGAATTCTTGGGTCTAATGTATACTACATCTCCAGGTTGATAATTAATGTTATCTGATTTAAGTTTAATTAATCTAACATCTTGAAAATGATCTTGTGCAGTAGTTCTTATATTTTCAGTGACTGTACCCACTTTCACTTCATTATTTATAAATACTTCTTTCATGAAAATATCATAATTTAAGTAATATTTATTATTCATGGAATTTTTATCTACTTCAGAAATATGAAATCTTTCAATTATATCATTTTGATTACTAATCAAATCCATTGTGGAAATACCAAATGTATGTGTAACTTTCATCCACATTTCTTCTAGCCAAGGATCAACAATAGCGTCTATTCCTAAATCATGTTGATCATCTGCTAGTCCAATAGACAGCAATTCCTTTGCACCTAGTTGCATTAATCTTTTACTTAGTTTTTTTGCTGCAAAATTAAATTTCTGATAAGAACTATCACCTAAACCTAATATTCCACACTTTAAATTAATAAGTAATGTTGTTGGTAGATTTTTTCGTAACAGAAATCTCCAAAATTGTCTCATATTATTAGGCGGATCTCCTTGGCCTGTTGTTGCAACTACAAATACTATCATTTCTTCAGAATCTAGGTCTTGAATATCATAATCATTCATTGCTGAAACACTACTTTTTAACCTTTTCCTGAAATGAAACCAAGGGGTAATCTGTATAGAAAAAATTGCCTACATTAACGTTTTAATTATGCTATAAAATAGCAATGATAAATTTCATAATTAATAATTCTAAACTTTCTAATTGCGAAAGAATATATATTTCTTATACATGCATATATATTAAAGGAAGGATAATAACAAAACCTTTTGGCACTTTTCCAAATTTGTTCAGCCACATCTTGTGCAGTACCTGTCTCACTGCCGTATAATATTGTAATTTTCATAATGTTTCTTTTCGTGAAAAAGTTTTGAGTGCAAATTTTCTGGAAAAAGTTGTATTGTGACGCAAGATACCGCTATGTTACTAATTTTCCTTACTAATGCATCGTGACGTCACTGGTTGTTTAGCAGACGATACCTAAGGAAACAAGTTTTATGAATGGGGTATGTAAACAGTAAAAGTAAAAAGAATTGTTTTCTTCCGCGTTAAATGTATTTCACATATGGCAATGGTCTTACTCAATCAAATGTCAAGGATAGATGTCTAGGCTAGGCCCCATTTGGCGCTTGGCCCATGATATTTATAAATAAAAAATAGCTTCCCGTGTATGTTGCGTGAACAAATGGTTTATTGTGAACATTATATATCTTAATAATGATACTCAAGAATTACTTTTACAGCATCTATACTTCGGTAAATTTACGTACTTTTTAATGTTAAACGTAGTCAAATATTCTAAAATTTGTACAAGTGTCAAAAGCGAAAGCAAGAAAAGTTTGTAGTGCGGCTTAAAAACCGGAAGCTGACATGATACTGTCAGTGTAACCATAATACAAAGTGTTTGAAACTATTTACGATATTTTACGACGAAATTATTTATGTGCGGCCTTTAAACATCTTTATGGATGAATTAATTTAAAAGATATGAATGCGTGTGGTTAAGGCGACTGCTAATGAATCGCGTGACGTAACTGCGTGAAATGTCGACTTTTTACAGATGAGGCGACGTTGGTAACACTGATATCTGTTTGCGAATGATTGTCAAAACCTATTTTCTCAACGAAGTCCGCAGTTTTGCATGCCAGTTCGTAGGAAAACATCATGACTGCGTTCGATTCGTAGAAAGGAAAGAGGCGCAAAGTGCAGCCGCGAGAAAGATAGCGCATCTGTTTTTGAAGAGTGAGTGAGTGCAGAGAAAGGTTTCTCGTCTCGTTTCGCTCGTCGCGTTTCACCCGTTCGACGAGTGACGTGCCTCGGGTCTTCGTCGGTGGGGAAGAAGATTACTTCGATTTTAATGTAAAGGGAGAAGACGCGGGCTTTCGTCTTCAGGAAAAATCTATTACGCGATCGTGTCTTAACCTTTCCTATTGTTAAATGCGATTAAAGTGGGCTGCTGGCCGTAGTGTGTGATTTCTGCGATCCACGACTGTCCTCACGTCACTTTCGCAGCAATCGACCGATGCTTAGTACTTCAATGGAGCTTATTCGCGCGTGACAGCAACTTTTGGGACACCAGGCTCAACTTTTGCCAGGTAGCCCCAATTTCGATCTACCACGTGTATAAGCTTTGCTTTGTTTCGGAAATTATGTTCACATTTCTCCTTGACGCGACGCTTGCACGACATAAAAGCGCTCAGAGGTCAGTCACATTTTAAACTTCGGTTATAGTTTACCGCGTTTTAGTTTTGAAACGCTTCGTCTCGCCGAAGAATTCAATATCATGCTTTCCTAGAAACGTTCGTTCGCACATTGTCATTATTCTTACATGTATATTATTTATATGTGATTGATATTCATTTGATGTAAATAACTTGGCTCTTAATGAGTTTGTTACTTTATATTATTTGTGAATGTAAACCCTTTGTTAAGGTTACAAAATGATTTGCGTTAATAAAGTCGATACTTGTTTTTGTTTAATGATACACTTGTTTGTTTGTAAATGTCATATTCTTTTTCATTAGTCATACCTTTTCTTTTTTCCTTTTCAGATTTTGGTGGCTGTCTACATTTACATTACTGTGGCAGCTTTTATTTTCTTACATACGATCAACATGTTTACCACATGACATGAACTTCAATCTATGACAAGTACATAATATCATTAATATTTATGGAAATTACCTTTGCGTCACATTTTATGACACAAAATATGAGAAATTTTATTACTACATGCAATAACAATTTAACAAGTATTTAAATGTAACTTTTGACACCACATTTATGCTTTATAAATACTTTTAAGTAGTGTATAAACATCACATTGTCTATGCATTGAAGACAATAGTATTTATACAATAAAGGGCCATATAGAGAAAATGAATAACAGGCTTGAAGAACAGGAGTCAAAATGGACATGTGAATATTGTACATATGAGAATTGGCCTTCATCATTGAAATGCACAATGTGCAGAGGTGCCAAGCCGTTATTAGGGGAGGATATTTATCGCCTACGAGATCCAAGTCCACAAAGGTCTGGATCCAATGTTGCATCTGGTCCAGTAACTCATTTAAGTCCAACAGATTTTTACAATCTTAGTTCTCAAAATGTACCATTGGGAAAGTGGTCTTGTGCAATGTGTACCTATCTTAATTACCAGAATACCACACGTTGTGTTCAGTGTGGAAATAGAAAACCTACAGGTCTTAATCAGTCAATACACTCCATAGCTTCAAATTTGCATGAACACCTAGCACCTCTTAGGCTAGCAGATCCACTGCCAAACTCAGGATCAAATCCTCCTCCAATAAATTTACATCCAGAAAGATATTATAACTTACAAGCAAATTTACATCCTGAGAAGTGGTCTTGTCTTGTATGTACTTATGAAAATTGGCCAAAAGCCACAAAGTGTGTGATGTGTGGTAATCCTAAAGAAAAAGATAGAAGAGAAAGAACAACAAATAATATGGGTATTATTTTACCAAGCCCAGAAAGAGATCATAGTCAACGTAACTTACCTTCTCCACCTCATGCACCATATATTCATCAAACTCAGAGGGATGAGAATTTGGCTGTGGGACGAAGGTAAATTTATTCTTTATGTTTACTTGAGAATGATCAATGATTAATAAAAATTTCATCAGTAGAATTAGTAAAAAATATTGTCATTTAAATGTATTATAAGTTTTCTTATATTGTAGGAATTCACATAGATATCCTGATAGCAGAAATGACAATTTGTCAACTCCTCAATCCCCTAATAATTGTGACTATGAGCGTAGACTAAAACAATTAAGGCGTCATACTGATTGGTGCTGGTTAAATGCGTGTCTTGGCATTGTTGAAGGTGACAATGCTCCTGTTGAAGCTTATTTGGCAAGTGGTGGTGATCCTGCTCGTCAATTGACGCATTCAGAAGTTCTGCTTCTAAATAGAAGTAGTGCTTTTGATGTTGGACATACCTTAGTACATTTAGCTATTAGGTCTGTGGGAAGTAATTTTTGACAAAGGATTTCTTTCAAGCTATTTTAGCTTATTTTATATAATTACATGAGTGTATATATTCTTTGGCGATGTTTCAACTTGTTCATTACACATGTAGCAAAGTAAATCAAATATCATTGAGAAAGACAAAATCTTTAAATTATTCCTTACACAATTTGTTATACTTTTGACAGATTTCAAAGAGAGGATATACTAGCAACATTATTATCACAAATTGAAGGTTCTGGGTCTGGAGTAAAAAGAGTACCAAGTTATGTTGCACCAGATTTGGCTGCTCAAATACGCAGACATGTTACTAATAGTATCCGGTTACGCAAGGGTTCTTTCCCATGTTATTTCGTCACTGATATAGCTACATTTGCTTTGCCTGCTGAGGTTACTATAACATTACAATTCTTTCTTTGGGATATTATGGGATGTTAGAGTTTATTGAAGATATTTATCCCTCTCTCTGTAATGTAAGTTACAGAAATTAAATTTAATTACATAATATTATTTATTAGGTTGAAGATCTACCAAGTATTGTGCAGGAGCAAATGTTGGAAGAGTTATTAGATAAGGAAGCTCAACAACAATTAGAAGGTGGTGGTGGAGAACCACCAGCACTAAATTGGTCTTTAGAAATTACTGAACGTTTAGGAAGTCGCTTACATGCGCTTTGGAATAGATCTGCTGGAGATTGTTTATTAGATTCTGCGATGCAAGCTACATGGGGCGTTTTTGATCGAGATAATGCTTTAAGAAGAGCTCTTGCTGATTCTTTACAACAGGCTGGACAATTGTAAGTAATTTTTATACGTCTTAATTTTTACATTTGCATACATGTTTTTCCTACAAAAATTGCAAAACACTTGCATATTTATCAATTTAGTTTTTATCCTCGATGGAGAGAATATGAAGCATCACAAGCATCTAGAATGTTGGATTTTACATTAGAAGAGACTCAATGGCAAGAAGATTGGGAAAGCTTACTAGCGACAGCTGCTCAACCAGGAAGTGCTCTAGAGCAGTTACACGTGTTTGCGCTTGCCCACATTTTACGACGACCTATTATTGTTTATGGGGTTAAATATGTTAAAAGTTTTAGGGGCGAAGATATAGGTATTTGTTGTATAAGGAATAATTTAAGGTATGATATTATTATGTGCTTAAGTGCAATATTTTTATGTAGGTTATGCAAGATTTGAAGGTGTTTATCTTCCTCTTTTATGGGAACCATCATTTTGTATTCGATCACCTATTGCTTTGGGTTATACGCGTGGTCATTTTACGGCTTTAGTTCCCATTGAACCATACACATCGTCTAGAATACCACCACTTTCTTCTCACGGTGGTGTAGGCTTAGGTGGTGGTAATGGTCCACTTCAGCAGCTGCAAATACAAATGCAGACTACATTCATGCCGCTAATGGACAGAGAACATAAACTTTTACCAATACATTTTTTGAGTCCAGAAGAAGTGGGTCGAGAAGAGTCTATTTTGAAGGAATGGCTTGATGTATGTAGAACTGAGGGTGGTATTCTTGTTGCGCAACAAAAACTACACAAGAGACCCTTATTAGTAGCACAAATGCTAGAAGAATGGTTAAATCATTACCGAAGACTCGCGTAAGTAATTACATATTTTAATAACTTTTGTTTATTTGTTGATTTACGTGTAATTTAAATTATCCATTGTTATTACAGTCAAACTAATAACGCACCTTTTTTGAGACCAGCAATTTTACAAGATTACAGTAGTGATGGAGACACAGAAGATGAATAACAAGGTGCAATTGATTAAGTTTTTAAATTCAGCTGAGAAGACTTTTCTATAATTTTCCTGAAACTAACTGTAACACAAGATCTCAGAGATTCACAATTTCCCGAATATAGCAGAAAAAAGTGTATGAATGTTACGACTCACACATTCATTGGCATTATATCATTTCTGCATGATATTTGTACATTAATATTGGTTATTGAACCATTGAACGTCTAAAATCTCATCAATTCGTACTATTTAATTATACGAGATGTTTATTCATCTTTATGAGTAGTTTGCTGTGTTATTTTATTGTTACTTAATCACGAGACTGCGCAATAAGTAGGTCCGTTGCCAAAGTGCGATTCTGGGTATCAAAGCAGTAAGTTAACGAATTAAATTTTGTTACGGCTAATAGCGTCTCAATTAGAATTAGTTTCTTTCTCGATAAGTTGATTATTATCGAGAATATGTAATATTAATCTTCACAATATGTTTATAACTTAAAAGTTATTAAACTGTTGTGCCCTCAACACTAAAAAGAGTTCCTTCAACCTATAGTGACCTAGGTAAGGTCACAAATCACCTTCCAAAATATCAAGTCTACCTTATCCTCCATCTAAATGCACTCCACCTGAATGCACCAATAGCAAATTCCATATAATGCCAGAACCAATGACAGATTCGTATTCTAATATTCTATATTTACCAATAACGTTAAAATTACCTTTCCAAAATTACTATAAAAATTTGAGAAATGTAAACTGAAGATAGAGTTTTTAGTTTCTAACACTCACGTATAATGAGTGTAAGTTTATAGTTTGACGTAAAGAGGAGAATGTGACACAGCATGTCACTTAATATCAGCAATTCCATTGCAATTTCTCTGAGTTTCTTGGAGTTAAAAACTGGTAGCTTGCAAGCTGAAAATGTTAAGATTCAAAATATGTAGATTTCTGCTTCTCGGACTGATGGATAATCAGTTTCAATATATGTAACTTCATCTAATTTTTTGGTCCTGTAAAACACTCCGATGGATATGGATATTTGCTCCATAAATCACATTTCACTTATAATTGAACAGACTCTGTGTAAACAGCATTATTAATTTGTGTTTCACAAAATTTGAGTAAACTTCGTGTTCTGTTATTATGTTTAACAGGTAAAGGAATTAAGGATAAAAGAATTCACGTTTGTTAATTGAGAACAAACAAATATTTGACGAGGAATGTAAATTAAAAGGTGTATAAAGAGCACTGGTCGCGCTTTTTGTCTGATCATACGTGTGAAAGTACTCAGAGACTCTGGTACAGATCATGTGATTTTTAAAGATAAGTAAACTTAAGGGCCGAAAAAAAAATTTCTGTAATCGTCCTTGGATCATTTGTTAACTCTGAGCTGTGTTAATATTAGTGTAAAAGAGAGACGGCGAAGCCAAATTACAACGATACTTTTCTCTGACTAGAGGCAGGGGCGGAACGTTGTACTTTTCTCGAGGCCGCTTCTGGTATGTGTAAACATAAACAAAGTACCAATTAAATTGTACTTTTTCTTGCGTGAAAGAAGTTGAAGAGAGCATAGGACAAAAATGAGAAGAAGAAGAGAAGAAAGAAAAAGAGGAGGAAGAAGAAGTAAAAGAAGAAGGAGAAAAAGGAGAAGAAGATAAAAGTAACAGCAACATTGTGCGAGTGGATCAATTGTACGCATAGTCATCATGAACGTAGCAGTAAAATAGAACTTTTATAAAACATGAAAAAAGAAAAAGCGAATATGAGAACAGAGAAACAAGTAGTACTATTTAAGTACCAAGTTATATGTCTGGTGTGTGTGAGTGTGTGTGTGTATATATATATACCGTGTATGTATATATATACATATACTGTAATACAAGATATTCGCGAATGGACAAAGATTTAATGGTAACTAGCTCGGCCAAATAATTAACCCTAATCAAAAAAGTACAAAAAATCGAAAGAGGAAAATGATAACGTTTCTTTATGAAAACGTGTTATTATTACACATGTGGTATCGCTTAAAGTTTAGTCTCGTTTTTACTAATTCTAATGTAGCCTCTAGTCCTTTTTAGCACTGTCGGTTTTTCCAATCACTCGCGCAGCGTGTGATTTCATTATTGTGTGATTATTCGAAGGGCTCGATAATGTTCGGATAGAAGAATGTTTCACAAGTCAATTCCAAAAAAATTAAAACGACAAAAAAAGAAAATAAGAACAAATGTTTAATGGAGTAACGTTGTGTCGAAAGAGTAACGATTTTATGGTCATTATTATATTTATATAATTTTTTCTGTTTGTTTCTTTTATTTTTTTCCTTGCCTTGTTATCGTGGATCTCAATGGTGTCGAAACGTAAAAATTTTGTATGTGTTTATAAAAAGAAGAAAAAAGACGTTCTCGGGACACGGCGTTACATGTGGTGGAATTATAATGTAAAAAGAACAAGAAAAAGAAAAAAAAGTGACGCTCTGGTGGTGTATTTTCTTTCCCCCCGTTAACGTGTAAGTGTTTCTCGTTCGTGTTGCCAGAATTTTCTCTTGGCAGGTGATAAAACAGAAGAAAAAAAATATAAAGATTTAAGAATTTAATTGAAAAAGATAGAAGTCTATATTAATATAGAGTATATAAAATAGATTATATTAAATAATATATCGATGTACAATTATTCTAAATGACGATTTATTATTATAATTACTATGATTATCATTATATTATATTATATATTATATTATTATTATTATTACTATAATTATTATTATTTTATTATCATAATCATCATCATCATAATTATCATTATTATCATTATCATCATTAGTATTATTAAATTGGTAACAAGAATCATCGAGTTAGATTAATCAAATTTATGTTACTTCATGCCTTTTGATCTTAACGTGTGAAGTATTTTTAATTAACTGATTATCTGATTATCTAATTATCTGATTTCGAAATCCTTCAAGTCGATCCCTCGATGGAGGAATACTCGTACTTTGAAGTCACGATCTTATTGCTTTTAATCGAATGCTAGAAATAATAAATTTATCGCGTCGAGGGATCAATTTTAATGGACGATCATCGATATTCATATTATCAAATCCCGTAAAAATTTTGGAGTTCATTTTTTGAGTGTCTACCTTCCTATCCTTCTTTTTTCTTTTTTTTTTCTTTTTTTTTCTTTCTTCACGTAAAATTAGACGATATTGTATTAAAACTGTTTCGTCACGAGAATCGTTGACTGTGACTTTATTATAGGAATACCGTTTGTACGTCCGTTGACCAAAACGATCTTTCGATATTGTACATTTTGTTACACGTGCTTAAACGTTTTTAGCGAAAAATCATGCGACTAGCTGTGTGTAATTACAAAGAAAGACAATCCACGGCACATGCTCGTTGTAAATCTAATCGATGTACTTACGTAAGACGAGTGGAAGACTTACGTAAAACAAATATCAAATGCAGCGAATCGCTGTCCTCGTTAATGTTACAATATTCGTTACACCGTTCTTTTAACTTTATTTCCCTCCTCTTCTTTTTCTTCACCGTTATTTGTTTCATCGTACGATCATCATACAAGTCGAGATTGTTCCATTTCTGTTACTGTCACACGGTATTCGATTAACGATACGATATATACGGTTAACAAATCGATGAAATTAAAATTCGGCAACTGCGAATCGCATTGCCATGAACTTACGTTTCACCGTCGTTAGCACACGAAGTTTAAAGAAGTTTCGAACGTCTTCCTATGTATATCGTACTCTGGGATGCATAATCGATACTTCTCGATAGTTACATCGCACTTCGTGACTAAGATGATCGATAACCTCTGTTGCAGTTAAGTTGGCATTTGTCATCGCTGCGAGTATATAATTTCAGAGGAGAGCAAATTGAAATTTCTAGTAATTGAGCAAGCAAATGGTGGTTAGAAGATTTTTGACGAATCAACGCACGATTTATTAATTGTAGCGAGCCTATCTTCGTTTCGATGCATGCGCGCGCTTTATCATATACGTAATTGGCGATATATTGTATCGATAGTACGGTCTTGTAACGAAGTGAGCCTCTCGGGTGTCGTGCCCTTAATTATCCTCGTCGAGTGTACTGAGGGCATGTTTAAACGGAGAACGGTCACGTGGGGGTTAAAAAAAGGAGGAGATAAATATGACGGCTCGATGAGGATTTGCAATTTTAATTTCTATGGAATAAGCTGTCGCGGATTCTTTTGTGTCATATTTCCGTATAAATATGCATGTAAATAGAGTTTATATAATGGTAATGCGTGAATACAGGAGCACTCAATAAACTGGATTATAATAAAGCTTAACGGTGAGAAATTTGTCATTTAGTCGAACCATTAAGTTAATTTCGGCTTTTTCTATTTTCATGTTATTACGAAAATTCGTAGAACGTGACTGATTACAGTTTGAAATTGATTTTTTCAGCTTCACGGGGTGAAATTTTTGAAGTAACCTGTATCTCGAGGCAACGTGTAAATAACGATGACTTTTGGAACACAAATATTTTATTTAACGAGTGTGATCAAATATTGGAGTATTTTAGTATTGTTTATAAATTTAAGGCGATAAATCTACATGATCGAGTTTTTTTCTTTGATTATAAAAAGAAAAATGATTATTATTTATGAACTTGAAAATGTGAAGGAATAATAATTATTTTTTTGAAATTTTACCATAGATTTAAATAGCAATAATTTCTATGAATTTAGTTCTAAATATTTCTTAAAGGCAATTCTCATCGTTCCAATAATTATACAATTATTCTTTCAAATAGTTGGAGGAATATTCCATAAAAATACGTAACCTCTATCGAGTAAATGAATTTGATCATGAAAGGTCTCGTAGAAGCAAAATTCATCGAAATTTCATATCGCATAATTAGAATGTTTCACTGTATTTAATAAATTTCATCGCTATAACAATTTATGATTAGTAATAAGTGCTACTAATTTTGAAACTCGAATTAGGGAGAAAGCTTGTAATTTTAAAAAATTTGACGTATTATAAAAACTGATAATGTTTATAAAGTGCAAACATTTTTCACATACGTATATTAAAAGCCAAACTTTACAATTGAACTCGATATAGAACTACAGATCTAATGTAATGAAAATATATAGATATATATGAAGTGGATTACGTAACGTAACAAGCCTTATTATCTTCGTCATTAATAAACCAATTTCAACAATAAACCCTAGATGTTTTTATCGCTGTATCATTGTATCAGATGAAGAAAAATTCTTTCCAAATTCTCTTTAAATTCGTTACATTTAATCTTTGGACGTAGACCACTTTCATAATTACCAATGCATATCCCAATCCATGAACTCTGCATAACGACGTCTCTTTTAACGAAATTCGATTTTAATTTTTCTAAAAATTAATTTTTTTTTCACCAACTGCGAATTCAAAGAATTTTACTAATTCTAACGTTGAACCTAATTACGTTCAATCCATCGTCGCTACTAGCTCTTATCGTCCAGAGTTGCCGTCGAAACAACCGGAAGCAGCATTTTTGCTCCACCGTGAAACGTCGATTTAATTAAATCCGCGGTTACGTAAGCTTTGGAAACCAGTCGATCTTTCCATGCTCGCCAATCGCGTGTCCACTTCTCCAATGCAGTTTCCTAATTCAGAGTGGCTCTGGAGACCTTCGTAATTACTGTCGTTTTAATGATGGCCCATCGTTCACACCGGCGACCCAATTCCTGAGTGGTCTTCGACCCGTCCTCCTCTGCCTCTCTTCTACTCCCTTCTTTTTCGACTAATGGGATAATTTACTCTGTTTTTCGATTCGCGAACGCAGGGGACTCTTTCGAACCGGTGGGCGTCTCGTTGTCCTCGTGGTTCTCGATCGACGCGGTGCTCGAGATTGTTCAATTAGCGTGATAATTAACCCCTTGCCCTCGGCCCACTTTCACGCATCGCCGATGGTAGACGCGGATTTCAGACGAAAAAGTTATTCCATTAATCACGGCTCATGAAGGTTAGCAGAGCTTGATGTCTTATCAGTAAAGAGTGATCGGGGTAGTGGTTCTCAGCGAGGTAGGAACTGCATGGCCAATTTTGGGATGCACAGTCTAATTTATTTAACCCTATGACTACTGCAGACTTTGAAACGCACCGGTCGTACCACACGGGTAGGAATTCATTTACAATGTCCGCCGAGAACGGCAAAATTTTGGGTAGAGATGCGCCCTCCGTGTCAAAAAAGCAAACTGTGTTGAGCGCTTATATGCGCCCTCCGTGGCAGAGAAGCAAACTGTGTCGAGCGCTTATATGCGTCCTCAATGTCACAAAAGCAAAATTTCTGAGCACGTATACGTGCCCACAGTAGCCAAGGGGTTAAAAAGGTTTAAAAGATTTGTGTATACAGGGTGTTCCAGCAACGGCAGTAAAATCGGGAAGTGGGTGATTCTACGCGAAAAAATAAATCGAAAATAAAGAATAAAATTTTTTCATTCGTCGCTTCGTTATCGAGAAAATCGACTTTGAATATTCATTGAGTACGCGTGCACTTAATTTTGGTAAGTGGGATGGATCATCGGTATACCAGCGCACTCGGTGAATATTCAAAGCCGATTTTCTCGATATCGAAGCTTCGAACGAGAAAATTTTATTCTTTATTTTCCATTTGTTTTTTCACGAAGAATCATCCCCTCTGTGGTTTACAACCGATACTGGTACGTTGATGATCCATGCACCTAAGCTATAGCTAAGTGCACGCGTACTCGGTGAATATTCAAAGCCGATTTTCTCGATAACGAAGCTTCGAATAAGAAAATTTTATTTTTTATTTTCGATTCAATTTTTCACGCAGAATTAGTCACTTCTCGTTCATATTACTGGGACACCCTGTACATATGTATATTGTACTTTATTTCTGTTATTATATTATAATTGTTGCTTTATCCATATATAAAAGGGGTAAGAGTACGTAGGATAAGGATAAAGTTGACACAATGACACAATTTTTCTTGAAATATTTGAAAAGATATTTTCTATTGTTTATTACACTTCAATTTGCAGATTCATTTATATATATGTGGGATTGGAATAAGTACGGCCCTGAAAGAATGCCAAGTGTGTTTGGACTTAGGATGAAAGTGACAGCGTGCAAGCGAATTAACTGCAAAGAATATTTACGGTAGGGTCGAGTGAAAGTTTAGGGTTGCGTCCAGAGTGATTGAAGTACCTGGCCCACGGAGGTGGCGTGGGAAAGGGGCATGATTGGAAAGGAAAGCCTGGGTATGGAAAAGGACAGAATGAATGCTTTAAATAAGGGTGCAAGGGTGCGGGCAGCTCCACTCTCCACGGTTTACACAGTCGTCAGTCATGAACAATCTACAGTCTTTAACCCTTTCGGTACTAGGCGCCACTATAGTGGCTTTCGTGGATGTCATATTCCTGTACGACGCGCCACTATAGTTAATCATCATACAAAAATAATACAATAATTTAATCATCAAACACTTCATTCCAAGGTACTCGTGTAAAGAACAGCATTATCCGTCACACATTG